GCCCAAAAAACAAAAAAGTTTTCTATTTCTTTTTAAACCGTTTTTTAGAGCTTAAAAAAAATGTACTATATTGAAGCGCTGTTGTATGCCTAACGGTCTCAGAGAAAATTAAAAAATAGTGTAATTTAAAATTCCCATGTTATTCTTATGGAGAAAATGAAAATTGTTGTAGTTTACTTGTTTATGGATATATATATATATTTATGTGTCCGTTAGCGCGATAACTAAAAAATGATCGGATTTTGATGAAATTTGGTCCAAACGTGTTTAAACCTACGTTTATTCGAACGAGTTCGCGATCCAGCATAATCGGACCATGGGAATGGGGGTTTATGGGAGGTTTTATGGGGTTTTCCCATTTTTGGCCCAAAAAACAAAAAAGTTTTCTATTTCTTTTTAAACCGTTTTTTAGAGCTTAAAAAAAATGTACTATATTGAAGCGCTGTTGTATGCCTAACGGTCTCAGAGAAAATTAAAAAATAGTGTAATTTAAAATTCCCATGTTATTCTTATGGAGAAAATGAAAATTGTTGTAGTTTACTTGTTTATGGATATACTGAATATTGATAAAATTTGGCAAATTTATTTATTTCATCCCATAGGCCTACTATTGACTTATGGTCAAAAAAGACTTTTTACCTTCTCCGTAGCATTACTGACGCCATCTATCCAGTATCACTGGTCAAAGATGAAGGGAAGAAGTATGAAGAAGTAAGTAAGCAGCAAACCTAAGCACTCGGTAAATCTAATGTTATTTAAATAGGGAATAAATATGTCTTATTTATGGAAATGTTTTAGTAAAAATGTAATCAGACAATTTGAAATTCGCTTAGTCTGCATGTTTGCTGCGGCGGGGGTATTTTTTTGTGTTTAACAATGCCACAATGCTATTTAACTCGCTGCCCGACAAGCTCAAGTCAATAAGTGAAGTCAATGTATTCAAACCAAAATTTAAAATATTTCTAATCGAAAGCCGTTTTTATTCTGTAGAAAATTATCTAAACAATAGGTGGTAAAGAGGTTTGTTACTTATGTGAATGTTGTATTTTAAGAGTTGTTTCTTTTTAGCATGGGTTTATGAGGTATTAAAAATAAAGGGCTTATAGAGTAAAAAAAAAAAAAAAAAAAAAACTCCAATGGATACAACAGAGCGTTCTACGTCCTTGGTTAAGGACCTAATCAAAACTGATATAGACAGTTTACTGTCGGTAACAAATTCGACACAAGATAACCATTCATTGAAACCTGTAGGCTAGCAAAGAAAAGATAATTAGGTGATATTTGAAGATGGAATTCTTATAGTTCGTAGGTATGTTGAAATGAAGGCCGTGTCGTAAAAAAAAGAAATGTAAAAGCTGAAAAATCCACGTGGTAACTTAAAGTTACTTACTTTTGAGTTGTTCTTGTTTAAAAAGACTTCTTTAAAGTGAATAATCTGATTTCATCTCCAGGATTATTTATCAAAGAAAGCACAGACTAGAAGTTTTGTTGTGGTCATGGATATAATTATTAATTAAAACACTTGGATTTAAGAAATAAATATTCATTTGTTTTGATTAATTTAATTCACATGTTTCAGCTGATCGAATAACGTGAATAAACATTTCAAGTCTAAATTACTTGCAGAATGATATAATAGATCGTTTTAAGAAAACGATGTGATGTGAAAAGTAAAAAGGGCCCTCTTGTCGTCGATGTAAAATTTTCAGTTCGGTACTATGTGATGGTTAAAAATATCGAAATTTGTTTTTTATCGATTGTTATACTACCTTATTTAACATAGAACAGGACATTTTATCGGTTAAAATATTGAATAAAAGAAGTAAAGGTACTTTCCTGTTATCTGGTACCTGCGAAAAAATTCTTTAACCACAAGTACAACTTCGTCGATCCAGAGTCCAGAGCACATACTACCGTTTAGGTTAGGTTTGGTTAGGTTAGGTTAGGTTAGGTTCGTTTACTTACAATACTCATGTTATTGATAAACTAACCTAACCTAACCTAACCAAAGTACAACCAGGTACCAGAAAACAGGAAAGAATTTTTTCGCAGGTACCAGATAACAGGAAAGTACCGAAGTGAAAGGTCGAAATAAATAAATTTATTAGCCTCTGGCATGGTCTGAGAAAAGGTACTTCTTGTCACTCAATTTGTTATTTCACCATAACGACCAGATGAGGTCCCATTTCTAATATCCTTTTTATAAACAGACTTTAGTCCAAAAATTGAATTGTCATTCATTCTAGTGGAAATTTAGAGAACTACACTTAACAAAGTTCAGTTTACAGATAACAAAATAACTCACAAATTTTGTGGTCCTGACAAGAGGGTACTTTTTTCATATAATGGAGAAATAACATGAACCTTAAGGCCCACCAGAGGTACCTTTTCTGGAAAGTGATTTTTACGACATGCTTCAATAAAACAAAGAATAAGAAGAATAAGAATATTTATTTTCCTTTTGACAAATTACATGCATTTGGAATCATCAGTTAAACAAGGCATTCACAAGGCAAATTAAATATCAATCAACATGCTTCTACAAAACTCTCAAAATTTCTACAATAAATAAATAAATATACAATAATAAATAATAACTTTATGTTCACAACTAAAAAACTAAAAGATGCAAGGTCTAATTACACATGCAAGTCAAATAAATATCACATATCAAGAGTCAAAACTTAAAAAAAAAATTGTTTCTTAAATATGAAAAAACTGTTTTTACAATGCATACTTGAAATTTTAAAATAGGATAGTCTTTTCTCAAAATGGCCCTTTTCCCTAAAAAAAAATAATTTCAAAGTAAGTTAGATGCATGGGACTTGCACTACCTAAGTGATTTGGAATTTAATAAGGAATTCAAATATATATGTAAAATAAAAAATTCCTGACAACAGGTCCCTTGTCACTATTTACATCAGAAATGAGGATACTAACTTAATTAATTGAGCGGAGCGATGCGAAGCTCTTTGGGATCAACTTCAATGCAAACTTTATAACACTTAATCTCAATAACGGCTCAACATATTTTAGCCACACTTACCAAGGTTGTTTTGTCAAATGTTTGGATGGTTTAGACGTAACCAATTTCAATTTTTGATAATGCCTATATAATTTAAAATTAACTCAAAGTGTTTAAATTTTAACATTGGCTTTATGGGTTGTCATGATGGTTACAAAATAACAATGAAAATGTAAACAAAACAACGAATCATAGCATATGTTAAAATCAAACCACGACCGAAACACAGTACAAAGGAAAAAAATTCAGATGATGACAACTAATCAAACAATACAGAAGTCTTAGGTTTACATTTAAGTCGCAATTTGGAAACGACCATTGATCGAATACCTAGAGAAAACATACTTTCTTAGATATATTATTTTACAGATTTGATTTACGTAGCTAAATAAGGTTATATAACAAAAAACATGTTGTTTTAAACAATTTATCGGTGAATCACATTCATTGATCCATCTCATTTATGGCAAACTTAAACAAGTCCACAGTTTAGGAAGTGGTGAAAGAAGTAGTAAAGGCAAAAAGTGTGGAGTGTGGGAACATTTGTATTTTGTATTATATTTATAAACATTTTTTTCATTTTTGCTTTATTAAATACCCTCGCAGCAGCAAACCTGCCGACTAAGCGAATTTCCATTTGTCTGAATTGATTTTCATTAAATATATTTAAATAACATAAGGTTTAACGAGTACCTAGGTTCGCTGCTACAAGGAAACTAATAAGGTGTGTTTTTTAGTCAAATATTAATAGCTTAAGTTAGTGTAAAATAAATTAATTTCCCAAGTTTGATCAAATTATGTCCATAAACAAGCAAACTATACAACATTTTACAAAATATTCTCCATAAGAATAACATGGGAATTTTAAATTTAAATTTTTTTAATTTTCCCCGTTACCAATAACCGAACAAAAGTTTACTTTGATATACTTAATTATTTGTTTTTTTAAGCTCTTTAAAAAGGTTTAAAGAGAAATTGGGAAATTTTTTATTTTGAATGTCAAAAGTGAGAAAACCCAATTTTTACCCCATAAAACGTAAAACCGCGTTCCCATGGTCCGATCATGCTGGTTCCCAAACTCATTCAAGTTTATCCTGCTTTAAACCTTTATACAAAATTTCATCAAAATCGGACATAAATTAGCCTACTCAAGTTATCGCGTTCACGGACGTATATATATATATAAATCTCTCTCTCTCTCTCTCTCTCTCTATATATATATATAAATCTATATAGGCCTATACAAAACCTATATATATATATAAATGTATACATATATAAAAATTTAAACGAATGGTGTTTTTGGCCTCTGGGGACATCAAAATGAAAAAGTAAATCGGTCCCGGGCCTTACCATGCCACCTACGGTAATAATGCTACTTCGCTATAGGGAAATTCGCTAAAACCATGAAACATGATCGCTCTGCTCAACTGGCTTTCACTGCTGAAAGCAATCCTAGTAAGTTAAGTTATAGGTAGGCCTAGGCCTACTTAACACTAGGCTACTACTGTATTTTTAACCATAGGCTATAACTTAAGTGATCTAGGAAAGTAAACGTGTAATTTTAAGTAAAATTTCAGAGAAGCGGTTCAACTCGATGCCCACTATTTTCAGTACGGTAAACATAGGTAGGCTATTAAGTAGAATCTGAATTTCACAAATCACAATCTATTGACAAATTAACTTTTTTGTAATACCCAACCTGAAGAGTTTGCTAATGTGTATTATTTTGAATATACTGATTCAAAGGCTAACTTAGGTCTATAATAGTTTATCTAGTTGAGTATGCAGAGTTCCCTTCCTATATTTTATTTTAAATATTACCGGTAGTTTATATTTAACTTAGTTAAACTCAGTCATACCTCAGAGTAAAGACTTATGTAGTACTACAACTCTGAGGTTAGGGCCTATACTAACAACAAAATGATACAATGAAGTTTATACCTATTTTATTAGATAACTTAATTACCCTTACCTTTGACAGTGTAGCTGCTATGTAAGTTACCTTACTTGTTTGAGTTAAACTTTATATCAAGCTAAGGCCTGAAATCACCTCTTTTCAATATGAATAGAGTTTCAAAAAGGTAGTCAAGTTGGTCTAAATAGTACACCATAAAACTATAATTTTACAAAACACGGCTGAATTTTAAAGTAGGTTACCAGTTATCTTTCAAATGTTTTTAACACTCCACTGTCACTAATCAAGACACAGCAACTAGGCCCTAACTGTTGTTTTGTTGTGTGAATTTTCTATTTTGTCAACAATAGAAACGTCAATATGAAGGCACTGGTGTCAAAATCTCGTCTAGCTAAATTGGCAGCTATACTGTAATCATCGTTTTATGATAACTTATTTATGTTGGGGATATTGGCAAATTAATGTAAAGTAATACTATTGTCTATTGGATGTTGAATTGATATCAAATTATTAATTATTGTTGTATCGAGAGTCAACGGTTATACTAAATTTTAAGCATTTAGGATTAACTTTTATTATTAAACTAAATTTAGTATTATTTTACATCGTTTCATGTGTTTATTTATTGAATATAGACAGATATCTCGGCAAAATTTTTTAAAATTATCATTACAGATAATCTATGATGGTACTACACTGGCTGTTTGCGAGGAAAGTAGTGGCGCAGTGGCAAGTAATTGGTAATGCTGCACTGAGCTAAATGCTGGCGTTGGCGTTCATAAACATTTTCTCATTTTAGCGAATTTCCCATATAGGGAATAAGCTATCGTGGGGTCCCAGTTTATCGACATCCCAAAAGATCGACACTGAAATAGTCCCACTTTGTCGACAACTCAAAATGTCGACAGTGTCGGTAATGTGGGATGTCTGTAAAGTGGGATGTCGCTTATGTGGGATGTCTGTTAAGTGGGACGGTTGTGTAAATTTTCCCACTTTATCGACACGCAAAATGTCGACAAGCAAAACAGATCGACAAAGAGCGGGAGATTCAAATTGAAGGTGAACAGCTCTTGCTGAACAGATCGGTTGAGTATAATGAGAGTCGTTCTTTTTTAAACTCTGAACGACTTCTATTCACGGCGCTTGCAGTCTCCTTCAAATTTGTCAATGCAATCTCAACTATCTTGTGTATATAATATGTGTTCTGCCGTTTGAAGGCTTAAAATAATTTGACATTTGTCGCACTTGTATTATGATTTATTAACTGTTTTTTTTTCGTGTAAGAAGGTAGTTAAAACTTGATACCTAGGCCAAACTTTGCTAGAGGATGATTATGGTATCCATCCAAGTTTTAGCAAATTTCCCATATAGGGAATAAGCTATTACCGTAGTACTCATGGTAAGACCTGGACGCGGGACCGATTTTTTTTTCGTTTTGAGGTCCCTAGAGGCCAAAAACACCATCCGTTCAAATTCATATATATATTTATATCTAATATATAAAATTCTCGTGTCACAGTGTTTGTCTGCAAACTCCTCCGGAACGACTTCACCGATCGTTATGAAATTTGGTGTGTAAATTCTGTAGGTATGCGAATCGGACGTAAACTATTTCCCGTTTCGAAATTCTTAAAAGGGCTCCGCCCCAGTGGCTCTGGAGTTTCCCATGTTAACCTTGAGAAATGGAATTAATGAATCTTAACAGCTGTTTCAATTAAACAAGTTGGTTCTGTTCTATGATGTTCAATAGCATTAAAGTTACAAGGATTACCAACAGGGTGCAGCACTATTATTTCTTTTACATTTATGACAACAGCTAATTTGCAACCAAAAGGTGAGTGAGCGTAGCGAACGAACTTCAACCTGGAGGCGAGTGAGCGGCAGCGAACGAGCTAACCTGAAGGCAAGTGAGCGCAGCGAACGAGCTCCAACCTGGAGGCGAGTGAGCGTAGCGAACGAGCTAATCTGAAGGCAAGTGAGCGCAGCGAACGAGCTCCAACCTAAAGGTGAGTGAGCGTAGCGAACGATCTCCAACCCAAAGGTGAGTGAGCGTAGCGAACGAACTTCAACCAGGACGTGATTGAGCGATGCGAACGAGATCATCTTGAAAATTAAACGTAACGGTACTTTCTTTCCATCGGTCTGTCTTAGGGGAAACCTATAACTTAGGCGATACGAAGTTCGCCGGGTCAGCTAGTACCTATATATATATATGTGTCCGTCAGCACGATAACTCGAGCAAAAATGATCCGATTTTGATGAAATTTGGTACAAACGTGTAAACGTACGTTTATTCGAACGAGTTCGCGATCCAGCATGATCGGACCATGGGAACAGGGGTTTACGGGGGGTTTTATGGGGTAAAAATAGGGTTTTCCCATTTTTGACCCAAAAAACATAAAATTTAGCAATTTCTTTCCAAACCATTTTGTAGAGCTTAAAAAAACAAATAATTTTACCTACGACCGTTTTTTAAAGTAGCCATTTCAGTCCAATTCTTAGAATTGAAAAGTTTCACTTTACAGCTGTTTACTTTCATATCCGCATAGTTTAATTTCATATCCGCATAGTTTTCTCATATCCACACAGGTAACGGACCAATGAGGTTCAAGTATTGAGAGAAAAGAAATAAAATTGTAATGCTTCGATCGTCAACTAATCAGCTGATCAGCTGATCAGTTGACCAATTTAATTGTTGATCCGACTTGTTCATGTTGATACTCGCGTATTCTTAATTAAGTTGGTGGAAGTCCAAAAATAAATTAAATACTTGCCGAATTGTACCTGATACAATATTATTTATGGTAAGAATGCTGCTAGCAATGTAATTTTTAACGATGTTTAACAAACACGTAACTACAGGAAATCAGCTGATTATACAACAAGTCGTTGCATCACTTTCAGTGGCAATGACAATACACGAAAACATAACCTCTCTAAAAAGTTATCAGTAGTGATTGTTCGTAATTAAATCCAGATTGATAGTAATTAAAAAACGGTCGTAGGTAAAGTAGTGTACGCAACTCGCGTTAATAGTCTTTACGACACTCGTAGAAGTTTTTAAGGCACTCGCCAAGGCTCGTGCCTTAAATTTTCTACTCGTGTCGTAAAGACTCACTTAACGCAATCGTTGCGTAAACTACTATAGTATATTGAAGCGTTATTATGCGCCTGTGGTGCCACTAAACTGTCTAACACAATAACCATGTGTTCTGTATTTATTTAATCATTTGTTTATTTTTTAGTTATCCTAGCAACCTAGGTAACAACAGTTTTAACAACAGTTTTTTTCTGATTTGAATCTAGTGGATTACACTACTTAACTATTCTCTGTAAATTAAATGACCTTTTACTAGAATGATTTGTTTTAGTGCGTCTATCCGCTAGAAATGGTGACCCCGACTAACAAGTAAATTATTTCAAACTAAATTAATGTTTTTCCTACACTAAATTTCAACCTTCTACCAAAACTTCATTTATTTTTCACCTTTCTCCAAATTATTGTTTTACGCCATGGACCAAGAACTTTTGGAGCGCCTAGCTCAATTAGAGAGTGAGAATGCCAACTTACAAAGACAACTTCAAGATTTGAATGGAAGACAAGAACAAAATCACATTTCTGTACATCCTCAAGAAGCCAACCTACCTGATCTTCCACCAGTTCCACCACAGCATCAGCCAGACCCCACAGCCAATTCCGACGAACGACATGAAGATCATCACATCCACCGGGTAAGCATAAAACTTCCACCATTCTGGAAAGAGAAACCAAGGCTCTGGTTTTCCCAAGTTGAGGCTCAGTTTACACTGGCTCACATTACGAGTGAAACAACTAAATACTCTTATGTCATTTCACATCTTGATGAGCGCTATGCTAATGAAGTGGAGGATCTTATAATAGATCCACCTGTTGAAACTCCTTACTCTACTCTCAAGTCTGAAATAATCAGACGGTTGTCTCTATCTGAGGAGCAACGCATTCGTCAGCTATTGATGGAGGAGGAACTAGGTGACAAAACTCCTTCTCAGTTCCTACGCCACCTTCGATCACTTGTAGGTTCGACCACAATCCAAGATAGTTTACTGAAAACTATTTGGATGCAGAGACTTCCTGCTCATGTACAGAGTATTTTGCAAGTGCAAACAAGTGCCCAAACTGACACACTTGCAATTACTGCCGACAAAATTCTAGAAGTCCAACCTAACGCATCTTTTTGTCATTCTCTAACTAGTAGGCCTACATCTTTGAATGCCGTTAATTCACCAAATCCTAAATCTTCAATTTCTGATGACTCAAAATTAACTGAAGTTTTATCAAAATTATCTGCTTTGGAGTTGCAAATGAAAAATATGCGTAATGATGTTGATTCCCTACGTAAAAGGCGACCTAGGTCACGTCAGAGGAGTTTGTCAAGTAACCGTTATCACGCAGGTAGCTCCTCTGACACTTTAGAGCAAACCAATCTATGCTGGTACCACAAGCGTTTTGGCTATCAAGCTGAGAAGTGCATTCCACCATGCAATTTCACTTCTCCGACAAACTCCAAAGGCAGCCAGTGATGGCGTCAGCTGACTGCCAAGCTGGAGGGCGCCGCCTACAAATCATCGACCGGACTACCAATACAAAATTTTTAATTGACACTGGATCTGACATATGCTGTCTCCCTAAATCATTTGTTTGTAAGAACCAAAAGCGTATTGAATATGAACTTCGTGCAGCAAACAACTCTGCCATTCACACCTACGGTATGATGACATTAACATTAAACTTAGGGCTGAGACGAGCTTTTACATGGAATTTTGTCATTGCTGATGTTAATACAGCGATTATAGGCTCTGACTTTTTAGCACACTTTGGATTGCTTCCTGACTGTCGTAATCAACGGTTGATTGACAGTGTAACAAACCTTTCTGTTCTTTGTCAATGTACCTCAATCCCTCATTTCAGCATCAAAACTATCACACCCAATTCTTCAACTTCATCAATACTGGCAGAATTTCCCATGATTACCCGACCCTCTGGTACACCAAGAAAAGTGCTCCATTCAACCTTGCATTTCATCAAAACGACCCCTGGCCCCCCAGTTTCATCTCGTCCACGTCGACTCGCTCCTGATCGGCTTGTTATAGCCAAAGCCGAGTTTGATGCCATGCTCACCGATGGTACTGCACGTCGATCTGATGGACCTTGGTCATCACCCCTTCACATGGTCCCTAAGAAACCTGATGGATGGCGCCCCTGTGGAGACTACCGTGCTCTCAACGCTAGGACTATTCCTGACAGATACCCTGTTAGACATATC